TTCTGGCACAAATTTGTGCCACTGCTACATGAGCTGCTGCAAGTGCACATGCCTGCATGTGTGGACACACCCTAAAGTTGTATATCTACCCTGACTTTTAAGTAGTAGTCAAGCCCACCAACATCCTACTAACTTTTGGGGTATTATTCCTTATTTACACTAGTGCAACTGAAAAGAGACTCAGTCATAGTCCATCCTCTAAATCACCAAGATGGATCCAGCTTTAAGTGCCAACCGTGTACAGGTACATTCGTGGGACAGTCACAGAAAAGAGAGACAGGGCCAAGGTGCGAGGAAAAACACTGGAAAATGGAGAAGAACAGGGAAAGGAGAGATGCAGACAGAACATGATGGAGGGATGAAGGATGAGTGAGAGAGAGAAAGAGAGAGATAAAGATGAGGATCAGTAGGTTGCTTCCCTTCACCCCCACCTCAGGAAACAGATCCCATTCCCTAAAAGGAGAATTCTTTCCATGAGCTTTCGTGATCCTTATACACAGGCAGCCTGACAGAGTAACAGCCCTGTGTCTCCTACTAGACATTGAGGATTACTGCTGAGGCACAATAGAAAAGAAATCTTAGCAAGGACTGGGGTCAGTAGCCTCTGGCCCCTCTTACCATTTTGCTTTTATTTTAGCCTGGGGCAAAGCGCAGACCGTTCTCTTTTTGGTTGACTCAGCTGACCTAGAGAAGATACTTGGAACAGAAGTGAACAATATGGTAGATTTTCTCTAGATAAATCCTCTTAAAGGTTAAAACACTGGGACACTGATTCTGTCATTAATTTCACTGACTCACAGCATTTGCTTCAAGCAACAGGACAGAGGTTAGATTTGCAATAACTCTTATAAATTCCTCCATTTATTTTCTCTCTCAATATCTTGCTATCCTTCTTCTTTCTCACCTGCCAGCAGTTTGTGCTAAACTGATGAAAGTTTAAGAATGAAAGAATCACACATTTAGTGTTTGGACATATTGCAGCTGTCACACAAGAGTACAAGCACTGATTAGTCATTTAAAAGAAGTATTCCATGAGTACTTTGGCATGAGAAGTCT